CCCCCCATCACGCGCTTACAACAGGTAGCTCCGACCGCGCACGCCAGCCGCCTCCGCCCCCAGGCCAGCACGACGTCGTACAGGACACTGAAAGCGGATCCAGGCCGACGGGAGCAACTCAGCCAGTACCAAAGTCTATCATTTTTCACAAAAAGCGTGCGCATACACGCACATAATTACATTTAAGGAACAGAGAAATATTCAACAATGCGGCAGGGAATACGGAGCAAATTGGAGTATTCGGATAACAACTAAGAGCAAAATAATACTGTCGCTACGCCCACGCGTCATACGGTCACACCCACATGTACAAAACTTGCTGGTGGTTACGCAGGAATTAAGGACCCTCCATCCCTCACCTCCCCCGCCTTCTGCGTATTTCACGATCGTTTAATGAGAATGTCGTGCGCGGCATTTGCGTTGACAAATTTCCCCAGCCGTGGGCGGGGGCGGCAAGCTCGTCAGTGCGACAGAGAGGACAAAACCACACGTCCGTTTGGGCGAGGGAGAGCGAGGGAGAGGGAGGGAGAAGGAGAGGGAGAGAGAGAGAGCGAGAGAGAGTGGAGTTACGACGAAAACTACGCATATCCAAAAACAAATTAGAAGGCATGCGTGATTAACGGAGAAACTACAAACCTGTTAATTCGGCTCATGACAAAAAGCATGGTTTTCAAGCCGGTAACGTACTCGTACCGGTTTTCAAGCGGCTTGATTAAAATCAATCAGTTCCTTACTTTGCAGATTGAAACCAGTACTATGTTTTATTTGTTTGCCAAGCTGCCCACCTTTGTTTTCCAAGGAATTATTCGTCTAAAATGATCCAAGCTGGCCGACGTTCTGGGAACTTTAGCTTGGAATGTACTCGGAAATGAAGCTCTCGTTTTTGCTACGCTAAAATCCCGTCGCAAAATTGATCGTCGTCTTACTTTTACCCACTGTGTGTTTGTGTACGAGCGCATCGCCCCACTCTTCACCCACACACAGCAGCACAGGGTACCCCCCCCCCCTCCTTTCCCCTCTCCTTCTCGCCGACTCGCCGATAAGGTTAAGCAAAATGTCACAGACGGGTCCGGCGCGGCGTCCCGCCACCACGTCGGCTGGCATCGACTCGCACGTGAAGCAGCGCAGGCTGGCTCCGGTGCTCTTTAGGAAACAAACAAATCGCGGCGCACGGAAGGTGAACAAAATTCAACTTCACGTGTGTTGTAACAGATTTTAGCAGAAGTTCGGTGAGAACTCTTTTATATCCCTATTATTGCTGTACTAATTTTTTCTTTATTTCTTTTGCCTGCCGTTGCCCTGTGTAATAATTAAATTCTCTATGATGTGCGTCGTAAAGGAACGATTTGAAATTGTCAACAAGCACTCTGTATCCACTTTGAATAATATGACAAGCAACAATGAATGGGCTGTCACAAATTTACAATACATATTGTAAATGAAAATTAATAAAAATGTTGCTGACTTGGGAGTCCTCCTTATCTTTGTTACCCTCTGACCTGACTTTACAGATGCACTCTCCGGGCGCGACGGAGTGCGTTGTGCTGCAGCGCGCTGTGGTGCTCCGTGGGGTCAACGACCCGGAAAAGCCTTTCCCTATCGTGAAGACGCGACCAAGGTGAAAAGTGGGAGGTGGAGAGGAAGGCAGGGACTTAAGGCCCACTGTGGCCCTCTATAACATCAGCTGTTGCCCGCACACCGGCTTGTCTCAAACTTGGATGCCACCAGTACACGAAGGAGGGGGGGCAATGCGCACCCCTCTCTCTTCGGTTCGGACACCGCAAGCGGCTCTTCCCAAACACCTCCTCTGCCTGCCTGCAGGTGCCCCGGCTCGGCATGGCGTGGAAAGTGCCTGACAGCGACACAACGCTAAGGGGGGCGGACGCCCTGCTGTTGCTGAAGAGGTACAAATGCCGTCTCCTCCTCCTCCTCCTCCTCCTCCTCCTCCTCGTCCCAGCCGCTCGGCCAGGACCGTAAAAAAGATAAGCAACATTTTAAGGAGCACTGAAACGCAGATGTCCCCCTGCCTCCGTCTCCTCCTCCTCCTCCTCCTCCTCCTCCTCCTCAGAGGGACGAACCGTAATAGTCCTTGACGCGCGGGGACCCGCCAGGGACGTAACTATACGGGGTACTTTGGCGAGAGCTTGCGGTCCCGAGGAGTGGGGTGCCAATAGTCAGGAGTAGAACACCACGACGTGGAAGGGTGCACCACACAAGAAGCAGCGGAAATATATTGGATAGCGCAAAAATTCTTCGTTACAGTTGCAATAAAAGAAGTATGTGATTGAAAAAATGGTGGGAAAAAAATATAAGAAAAAGAAGAAAGAGAGGACAAAATTAAAGAAATGAGAGAGACGACTTTCACTTTTGGCCACTATCATTTACTGCAGGCGCCGAAAGAAAATACGCGCCTGGCGTCAGGGGAGGATGAATGAAATGGAAGCGAAAGCAAGAGAGAGAGAAAGACAGGGGAGCATAGAATAGATGGCAAAAGAGGAGGGAGGGGGTGGGGGAGAAAAGGAGAGGATTGCTGCTAAACTAAAATAGAAGCAAGGGGCGCAAGGGAGAAAGAAATAAACGCTTAGTGAAAAGAAGGGCAACAAAGAGAGCCGGGGCAACAATAGCGTCTAGGAAAAGCGACGCTTCCAACAACAGTAGCAGTCCGCCCCCGCCGCGCCGGCAGGGCGGGCAGGGCGGGCAGGGCTCCCCGTCCGCCATTACTTTGGGACCGGTCCAACGTACGAGAAGTAAACAAATCCCCCCGGCCACCTCGTGCCCCCCTCCACCTCCTCGAGGGATTGCGCGTGTGTGTTTGCCAGCTGTTTACCGCCGTACATTATTTAGTATTCGGCTAGGCCAGCGCCTCCGTGTGTGTGTGTGTGTGTGTGTGTGTGTGTGTGTGTGTGTTGTGTCCGTCCGACGCGCAGCGCACAGCCACGCTTGCCCAGGACGCTCGCTGAACGACGGACACTCGGCCGGAAAATGTTGGCCAAGTGCGATAGGAAGCGCGCGGAAGGAGGCTGCTGAACCCAAAGAGAACGCAGCAAAATAAAAGGCGTGACGAAGAAGAATTAGATAAAGGGGATGGACGCTGAGGGGGTGGATGAAAAAAAAAAAAAAGAACAGGAAAACAGCGGCAAAGAAGAGAAACAACCAAAAAAAGAAACAGGGCAAAAAGGAGGATGACGCAAAGACGAGCATCCGAATTAATTTCATTCTGAACTGAACCTCGACGACAAGCTGCCTCGCAAAAGCTCTTCATTACGTAAAGTAGCCGTAGTGTTTTTATCCTTTTCTATCATAATCTCTTCCAGTGGGCATTAGAGAACATTCATACTAGTAAACACATAACCATGGACATACATCGCCAACTCCAAGCCCGAGGCTCCAGTTTTGCAATCAAATTAACAATAACCGAAAAGCGCCCCCACCCGAGTCCTCTTTTCCGCAATCACTCCCGATGAATGAAAAAAGGCGCATTCGAATAAACTCTCTCGTCAGAGACTGACTCTTGCGAGCCATGAAGCTACTATATTTGGAAGCAGCCACCGGCAAGCCAACGGCACTACTTCGCTGATGAGAGCTGCGGCGGCAGCGAAATCTAAAGAGTACAGAGAGAGAGAGAGAGACAGGGAGAAAAGAGAACGAGAAGAGGAGGAAGAGAGGAGGGGGTGAAAGGTCAGACATGCGGTGGTAGGAGGGGATGATGAGAAATTCAGCCGCCGGTGGGCCCAGTCGTCTAGCCCCCCCCCCCCCCCCCCCCCCCCCCTTTCCTTCCCCGCCCCGCCTAGTTTAAATCTTTCACGCGCCGAGCCACCGCGGCGGCACCACGACGAGCTCCGCGCCGAGCAGGTCGAGGGTCGCGCCGCGCCGCCGCGCACACCGCATCGATTTTGCTATTAAATACGGCATCTCCCCTCCCTCACACTCACTCTCCAAAGCAATAAAACACAAGCAAACTGTTGAATTAAACTGTACCTCTGTCGATATTTCCAGCTGGGGGCGCGGCCGACCGCCTACGAAGGTGACCCACAGTGAACTTACCTGGAACAAGAGAGAAAAGGAGGACATGAAAGCCGAGCACGTCAAGTGAAGGGCAGCCGCAGCGCATCAATGTTTTAAGGAGACAACTAGGTAGGGCAACGGCAGGTGGGGAAAACAGAGGCGAAAATACTTGTTGCACAGTCCAACAAAACACCACTGCGAGAGGGTCTAGGTGAGGAAAAATGAGTCGTCTAGGACACAAAAAAAATTATAGAAAAATAAAAACACGGTTGTGGGAAAGATAATTTCAGCTACGTCTGTTAGAGCTTGAAAATTCCACAGGCATTAAGTGTTGACAGGGTGAGATACTCGGAAGGAAGGGAGCTCGCCCGGCCCCCGGCCTAGCCCGGCAGCGACCCCCACCCCCACCACAGCCATCCTACTTGTGACGCTGAGTCAAGCCGAGGCCTACGTTCATAAATTGGCTTCGGAAGCCTTATACAACACCGTCATAAAGAAATCTTGGGTGTTTCGAATTTAACTTCGAGAAGTGCCGGATATTTTTGTGATTTACCTATTTTCTATAACAATAACCGTAAGAAATAGTAACAAATGGCAATCCAAAGATGATAAATTTCTCTTTCTGTAGTAGAATATATAGCGCCCTCTCCTTCGGAGCGGTGTTGGGGCGCGTGTGTGCCCAGGGGAGAGAATATCACTCCTGGAAGAAAACGGAGGAAACGAGAGAATGGAGAAGAAGAGGGTGGGGTTGATTTTAATCGAAATACAGCTCAATTAAACGAGGATGAAATACTCATGCATATTCAAACTCGCAGCAGTTTGTTTCTATTCCGAGTAAATTTTGACGCTTCGGCGGAGACACCATAGCGCCCCATCCTTCACTGCCGACGGACTGGAGACTGAACTTTAAAAAAATTAGGAGGGAGTAGAGTGGGAGAGGTAGGAGAGAGAGAGCGAGAGAGAGAGGGACAAGGAAGCGCAGGGGGATAGAGAGGCATGGAGAGCAGAAAGAGAGAGAAAGAAAGAGGAAGAGAGGTTTGGAGAGGTAAAGAGGGGAGCGGACACAAAGCGAATAAAGAACAACCCGGGCGGTGCGGAGTGCATGGGGATTTAGAGAGAAAGGATACGGGGCCGGCAGACTGGAGAGAGGGAGAGGGAGAGAGAGAGAGAGAGAGAGAGAGAGAGAGAGAGAGAGAGAGAGAAAGAGAGAGAGAGAGAGACGAGCAATGACTGCATTGGCGCAGAGAGAGGAGAGGGAGAGAGGGTCAGGCTCCCGGTGTGGGTTGGGCCCCGGTCCCGGCCATTCAACTCCACCTGCCCAGCGCGCCCGAGGCGGAGGCCGAGCCCCGAGCCGAGCCGAGCCGGTCCCGCCCGAGCAGCGCCGCCCGTATTTTGCTTCCGCTCGCTGTTGAGAAGGGCAGTGAGCTGAGAGACAGGGGGAGCCGCTCGGAGACAGGTGCGAGAGAGAGAGAGAGAGGAAGAGGGGGCGACTCGGTCCGGCTCCGGCCGGCAGAGCGAGACAGGTAGCAAGCGTAGGCAGCTCGCTTGGCAACAGTGACGGGAAATCAATAACAGTCCGGGGAGAGGGGCG